CAGAGTTCAAGCTGGAGCCTGTCGATGACGCCTTGCTGGAGAATGTTGGTATTTCTGCTGACCTGTTCTGTTCACAACCTGACCCGTTCCTGCCAGCCACCGACCCCCCTCCCCCATCGTCTGCCCTGCTGGAGCATGTTGGTATCTCTGAGGAGTTGTTCTGTTCACAGCCAGACCCGTTCCTGGTAGACCAAAAGCCTGTCGTCGACTCAGCTTCATCGGGACGATTCGCGGCGCCCATATCGACAGCTTCCATAGAAGAGAAGGTACAGTCTCGCGTTCCGAAGAAAACACAGCAGGCCACGAGGTGGGGGAAGACCGTCTGGGACGACTGGGCCACCAGCCGCAACATGAGGAGAACCGTGAGCGACATTGACCCAGCAGACCAGTTTCACATCGTACCGACGGTGCTGGTGTCTACGACTGCGGCTGAGATAAACTTTTGGCTCACAAGGTTCATCTTCGAGATACGTCGAATGGATGGCAAGCCATACCCAGCCAAAACGCTGTATGGACTGATCGCAGCATTGATGCGGCACTTCCGAGAGGACCTCGGTAGGCACGATTTCAACTTCCTGGACAAGAAGGACATTCGGTTTGCAGAGTTTAGGAAGGCTCTGGATGCCCGGATGAAAGAGCTGACAGCAGAGGGAGTGGGGCTGGAGAAACGTCAGGCAGACCCTCTGACTGTGGACGACGAGGACAAGCTCTGGTCTTCCGGGGCAATTTCCACCCACTCATCCACGGGGCTGTCACACGGCGTGTTTTTCTACAACTGTAAGGTGTTTGGATTGAGGGGAATGGATGAGCACCGCAGGCTACAGGTGGAGCAGTTCAAGTTCGGCTGCGATGTTGGTGGAAAGTACGTCCACTACACCGGCAGGATCTGCAAGAACGTCCAGGGGGGACTGAACCACAGGCAAGTGGATGTGAAGTCAATCAGGCAGCACGCCGACAACACCAATCCAAGATGTGTGGTCAATTTGTTTGAGACCTACCTGAACTGTCTTCCAGAGAAACAGGGAAGTTTTTACCGGAGGCCACTTGCGAAGTCAAGCATTCCCAAGTTTTCCCTCCAAGTCGTCGGGAAGATTACCTTGTCCTCATACATGAAGACCATGTGTACCCAGGCGGGCGTCTCAATGGAGGGACGTAACATCACTAACCACAGCGGGAAGGTGACCTGCGCAACCCAGATGTTTGCCGCAGGATACGACGAACAAACCATCATGTCCCGGACCGGACATAGGAGCAACGCCGTCCGTGCCTACAAACGCCCTTCTTCAACCCTCCTGAAAGATGTCAGCAACTCACTTCAGCCACCGAAACCAAAATCTGAGACCATCTCTAAGACCCCACGATCTCCCCTCAAGAACTCACAAAACAACACGACAGCAGTACCAGAAACCCCCAAGGTCCTGTCCACGACTCCTTCCACCACCAACAAGGACGGCACATCCAACACTGGCAGCAGATTGTCCATCACTCATCCGAACGGACTTAAGATTGTCCTGGACTTGTAAAATACTGTTCGGTAGTTTGCTACCGGTATGTCATTCTTTTTAGTACTAGCTTTTGATGGATTTGATATGGCATGTTTCAGTTAGTTTATTGATCATTTTTTTACCATTCACTATGTGAAGTGTCATTTTTTTCCTTAGATTTTTTACTTGGTGTGTGTTTTCATGGATTTTTTCATGATTTATGGTTCAGTTTGTTTTTATCGATCATGTTTGAACGATGGAAAGCTTTGCTTTGTTTTGTTATGTCAAGTAGGTTAAAAGTCACATTTAGCCTCCTTGTTTTAATGTAAATTCTAACGTTTGTAGCGGCTTTTCTTTTCATAAGTTTCATTAGAAACTCTTTTAATTATGCCAAAAAACAGTTACTCAAGCAACTGGATATGATTTTGAAAACGTCAGACGTTTCAGCTAGTATCCACTAGCTTTCGTCAGTGACTGAGAGACCAGAGGGGAAAGCAGGTTTATATACACAACCTGTTGATTGATATGCAAATAAAGTGAAGACAAATTTTTGGAAGTCGAAAAAGGAACAAAAGTCAGACAAGTCAAGACAAGATGATGCAAATTAGTCTGGACTTTCAACAAAGCGCTCAAACCTTCAGATCAGTCTAAGAAAAGTGCAAACCATTGACCAACAAAAACAAGGCCAACATCACTATTCCGTATGTCCAAGGAGTATCTGAGAAACTCCGACGGATCTTCCAAAACTTCAACATAGCCACTAACTTCAAACCTCACTCAACCCTCAGACAAAGACTGGTACACCCTAAGGACCGACCTCACAAGGGTACCAAGGCAAATGTTATTTACAGACTCAAATGTGAGGAGCCCAATTGTAACAACACATAAATCGGAGAGACAAGTCGATCGCTTAAAGTAAGGTACAAAGAACATTGCCGACCTAGTGCCAACGGCTACTCCTCAGCTATTTTCCACCACCTACAACACAACCAGGGTCACTCTTTCAAACTCGAGTCCACGGATGTCTTAGATCGCGAAACACGCTGGTGGGAACGGGGTGTTAAAGAGGCAATATATGAAAGAATGTACAACCCCACCCTCAACAGGGAAGGGGGGCTACGGGTCGATCTTTCCGGCACTTGGTTTTGGCACTCCCAGCCCCGAGGACAGACAACACTTAAGCTCCTGTCCCGTATAACAGGAGCTTTCAGACTAATTTGCATCATCTTGTCTTGACTTGTCTGACTTTTGTTCCTTTTTCGACTTCCAAAAATTTGTCTTCACTTTATTTGCATATCAATCAACAGGTTGTGTATATAAACCTGCTTTCCCCTCTGGTCTCTCAGTCACTGACGAAAGCTAGTGGATACTAGCTGAAACGTCTGACGTTTTCAAAATCATATCCAGTTGCTTGAGTAACTGTTTTTTGGCATATCGTATTACCTGGATGCCTAACCTTCATCGACGTAACTCTTTTAATTAACCATTTATTATTCATGCTATTTGTTATTCCTTTACAATATGTCCTGAGAATTTCCTTTGTTCATTATTATGAATAAACATGTCCAGGAATATTGATAAATTGGCTGTTTTCCCTTTCTTGTTAATCCTTTAATCGCTTTTATTTACATGTGAATGGTGGGCGTCTCCGACTTAGTCTAATTTATTCGTTGGTTAGTTCATGGGCGTCTCCGAGTTAGTCTAATTTATTCGTTGGTTAGTACACCCCTGTCCCTTTGGGGACCACACTATGTGGATTTAGTCACAAGAAATACAGGCCCCTGATTGACTGAGGAAAGATGGCCATGTTCTAAGTATGCATTACTGTGTCAGTATGGACGTGCAACGTCATTCTCATAAAGATCATCAACCATGCCGCACGAATGTGACGTCTGTGGTAGAGAGTTCAGTCGAAAAGCAAACGTCATCGCGATACGATACATGGAGACGAGGCAGAATTTCCCCGGGAGAAGAGAGCATGGACACCGAGCCAAGTTCTTACCGATCCGCTGACGTATTTGACGACACCGACGACCTGTCGGACGAAGCAACGACAGAGCATGGTACGGAGTCACTTCGAGGAATTTGAAGTCTCAGAAGAGTCTGTAATGGACTCTCAGGAGCTACAGTCAGCCACAGAAACTGAAAGCCATCAAAGTGGTTTTGAGAGTGATGCAAGATCGAGTGTGTCTTCCAGAACAAAAGAACAAAAGGATTAAGTATGCCCAGCTGCACGACCTCCTGGGGTTACAAACTGTCCAACCTTCCGCCACAATGACCTCTGTATGACCTTCATACCAATCCCCCCAAGGGACGTTCACTCCACAAGCCGAAAGCCACAACCCACTCACTCCACAAGCCGCTCACTTCACAAGCTATAGCCACACCCCACACGTCACAATAATACCCAAACTGTCCATGCTATACTACGCATATAAATCGCAACTTTGAATTAAGTCTGAGAACGGAACTTACGACATAAGTTTGCCGACCGCCAATCAAAAGAGGGCACGCCGTTTAGGATACAGCCGTCATAATATACCTCCAAGACCTCACAAATACTTCCGTCCTTTTCACACGAGTCGTAGACGCAGTCATTCCAGTAAGGCGTAGGTGACACAGTGCCATGGCAACTAGCGAACGGACCGGCGGGATCTGTTAGGTCATCACAAATATCTATATACATCTGAGCACACGGTCCAGGGGTCGGGGGTTCACCTGTAGGAAGGTCACCACAACTGTGGTGGACAGAAAATGTCAAGTTGCAATCATAGAAATACGTTTTAAAGAAATTCAAACATGTGCTCGGGAGCAAATAATGCATATTCACTCCATCATCCTTCTCCAAAATATGATTTTACTTTGCCCTCTCATGCAAGAATTGCAAAACATTCCAAAACAACCCCATGCAAAATAGGCTCTTTCAAGTCATCCCTACCCAAAATCTAGAGCAAATGCTGGAATCCAAATATACAATTTTTGTCTAAAAGTAAAAAAAAATGAATTATATGTTATCATTAAATGCTGTATGGCATAAGTGTTAATAAAACCCCATATATACTGACATGTTCTATAGGCACATTCATGCAAAATTTGCTTTCACTAGGCCATAAGAAACAAAACATACATCTAAAGTAGTAAAAATAACCAAAAAAGTACAAAAAAACAGCACTTTGAAGTTGTGTTACTCGTGTATGCCAAATGCGTTGATGGAGCTCTGTGAGTATATGTCCAAAGTGTACCTCTCTACAAAATTCTGCTTTAATACCAAGGCATAGGAGCCAAGAGCATACATTTCCTAAGATATTCTTTAAAGTCACAAATTATATAAATCTTAAGTACAGTATGGCCAAGTTGTTTGGATATACATGTATCCACAAGGCCCCATTGTAGCAAATTTCGTTTTTTTTTTATTTGAAATTTTTGAAGTTTTTCCACATATCAAGATACAACCCAAGTCACGTACTCTTCGGGGTCGGTCTGCCAGCTGTTGCCGAATTGGTTCACGTTCGTGGTGGTGCCCCCGCCCGACATCACATAGGCACTGTCCTCTACACCGTCGAAGTTATTGCAGAGTCCACACAGTTTATTCTGGTAGTTACTTGGAATCTCCACCTGTAGCAGTTATATGTATACATTGTAATCTCTGCCCTAAGATGCATATCAGGATCATGTCTTATATTTTGGTTACTTGTTGACAGTTATTTTGGTCAATTATTAGTAAAGCGCTATGCCAGTCAGTAGAAAGACAACCTGACAAAACAGAGAATCACAAACTATGGCTGACTGCGCAAAATTTATCAGAACGGTGAATTGCTATAGCTGCACAAGCTGAAAATGGAGAGTCAGTATGACTGCCTATAATGAATGAATGAATGAATGAATTAAGACCTTTATTGTACATTTGTGTTCTAAAGAATTAAGTACAGGTCGCATGGGTACAGAACATGAACATAAACATATATACATTACATTACATATGAACATATAGGAGTGTGAATAAGTGTCTAATTACCTTCGCCAAGAAGGTTATGTTTTCAGTAGCGTTTGTCTGTCTGTCTGTTTGTCTGTCTGTCTGTCTGTGAACAGCATAACTCAAGAAGCTTAATATGGATTGTCATGAAACTTGGCAGATGGGTAGGTCTTGATGAGACCTAGAAATGATTAGATTTTGGGCCCCCTAGCGGCTTTTGTTGGTACTGCAGCGGAACTTCCGGTTTTGATATCTCGCGATCTAGACATGCTAGGGTCACGAAATTTGGTTGGTAGATAGCTCTTGGGGTAGGGAAGATGTGACCGGCGTTTAGACCCCCTAGCAGCTTGTTCTGGAACTGCAGGAGCGTTTCTTGAAAAATCTCCGAAGGTTGATAACTCAAGAACCGGTTGACGGATTGTCATGATTTTTGGTATGTAGGTAGCTGAAGTGATGCTTGACATAATCAGATGACAATTATGCAAATCAGGAGCTAATTTGCATAATTAATGAGGAAATTCTATAAATCTGCTTCGTTCGATAATAGGACTATGAAACATTTGTGACATGTAATTAAGAACTAGAAAAACATCTGAGGATATAGATTATGTAAATGAAGACCTAATTTGCATAATTAATGGGAAATTGTTATAATTTCATAGTTGTAATTGCTGGGAATTTCATACTTGCCGCATTTGGAAGTTAAGTGAAGGTGAACATCAATCACTGCTCAAAAATCGGAATATCCGGACGTTTCCGGACCTGTACATGTCCCGTGAAACTTAGCGTGTCCGGGTGTGTCCGGGTGTGTGCAGGAAATGTCGGCCACGGCGTGTGCGGGTCTGTGATTCCTCCGGACACGCCCGGACACCTGGTAATTAGTCGTGTGTACGGGAATATACGGGCCTGCACACGTCACACGTCGCAAGTACTGCCAAACAATAAGGGGTCACCATACATGTAGATCGTTTCGCAAATGCGTAAATTGAGAGGTGCACATGTGTTTTCAAAGCCGGTAAGAAGAACGGGCAAAATGCTGGTTAGAAAACAATATTATTTTCACTCCCGAAATCTACCTAAACATGAGTTCGTTTCATGAACCGAATTACTACCTAAAAACGTTGTAGGTAACAGGCAACGCAACACAAAGTCAAGACATCTAGATTGGATGGTAGAAGAAATCAGCGTTACATTAAAAGTTGGTGAATAGAATAAATGTTGTTTGGGGGCCGATGTCTGCTATAAACTCGCCCTCGCCAGAGTCTGGTTGACTTTTGGGCCACGCCAGGCTTATATAAACTCTGCTAAAGAATCTAGAAGGATATATAAAGCTTGGTATGAACAAGGATTTTATATGAACATGGAGCTTCAACTAGGTTATCATATAACGTCCTTGGTATGAATGGGGTCTAAGTGTATCCCTGTATATATTTGTAACTATAACCCTTGCTATGAACAATGAGTAGATTTCTTTGTGTGGTCCATCGTCTCCCCGCATATATTAACGCCTCATTATACCGGCACCATATTGAATCTACAGTGGGCAAAAACAACAACACAATTACTGATCAGAATTTTACCAAACTAGTCTATTGGGAACCTTCGACCTTGACATATTTCACCTTTGGAAACATGGTCGTTTTCTTTGGTAATGAGAGGGACCGCTCTGGTGTTTTTTCAAATATCAGCCCACTTTAGTGTAAAAATAATTTTTTGGAAGAGGCAAAAGATGCATAGTTTACTTGTACATTGTTGTAAGATGTGTATTGTGGTGTCATGGTCAGAGACGAGACGGCGCCTATGTCTTATTTACCTTGTTTGTTTGTTTTTATATAAGAGAGGTTTAACTTCCTTGGTTATATTTAATTTTTATACTTTAAGAACACGAAGTTGAAAACATTACACGGGTAAACTGCAAATTATGTGTTGATGATAACATTCCAGACTATTTTATAGCCTATGTTTTTATTAGTGTGCGTGCAACTTTTACATAATAGACAAGCGGGACATTTCACAACTCTTTGTATATCATTATTCCTGCGGTGACCTGTAAACCAG